TTTTTTTTCGTACTCTTTTGTTTTTTCGTTTTTATCCACAATTTATTCATAAGCAGTTCATTTATTACAAAAAAAAAAAAAAAAAATGAAATATGCCTGTATAACAAAAAAGAACAATTAGCGAATGTAAGGGCTGTTATAGCTACACTACAGGTTTTGCTATATATCCGCGATATCTGGATTAAAAAATGAAAATCTGCCAGTAAGAGACATGCAGGAAAGAGTTCTTACGACTTACTAAAGTCAGAGATAAGGAATCGATCCAAGTGCAGGGGATCGGTCTCGGAAAGCAGTGTGTGTTTCATCCTTTAGCACGAAAGAGGCCCCAATCAAACACTAGTTTTTGCTAAGCATGCCACACGATTACCACGCATCACAATCACCCCAACATCATGAACAAACAATTAAATAAATACAACTAACAAATATGGATTAATAAGGAGTTGTGAGGATAAATCAAAGCAACACAAGCCACCAGCACCCTTAATCCAGCCCTTTCTAAAAGCTGCTTTAACCTTTCCCGATAAATCCGCAGTGGGATCAGATTCGATATTTTAATTAGAATTTGCATGAAACCAAACATAACTCGCTGCCAGCAAGATGTTTTGCCTAACTGCTTTCAGCTTGATTTCTAAGAAAAAAACCAGGATTTCCTGCGAATAGAAAGCAACTGAAAGTGCTGCCAGTGTATCGCCATTACATGGTTAACGGGGTTCCACCACTAGCACCTCTTTCAAATTTAAACACAAAACTGGTTTTGAGTATAATCGTAGAGTTTTTCATATGAACAAAAAAGCGGACTGATATTTATACCTCCTCTTTTTGCTAATGATTGCGGTAAAACTGTTCCCTCCAGCCATATGTTAATCACATAACAGATATTTCGCATGCAAACTACAAAAATGTTTTGCTAAGGATTTTCACCGAAATCATGAACAACCGCATCGAATTAGCTTTAAATTCCGAAAAATCACATCCCTGCCCAAATTTCTCGGGATATTTGTTACACAGTTTAAGAAAGCATAGCTTGACATGGATTTACTCCCCTCCCTCTCAATCCCCCGCGACCAATCTTCATGTAAGTGCGCCTCACCAATACTGGAAGTAAGGTATTCGGCTATCCAGGCAATTCTAGTATTTTTGGAACACAAATACCCGTTCGGAGTGGTGTGCCAAGATTCCGTATACCTGTTCATTCTTCCAGAAACAAATAATGAACATTAAAATTATGATTTTGAAAGCTTAGTCCAGCAGTATTATTTGCATGTAGCTGAACCACAAATCAAATGCACACATATTTACAGTAGCTGCTGCACTTGTCAATGTCCTCTTTGCCTATTTTCAGCTCGTAAATGATAAAAGTCCATTGCTGTTAACGAAATATTCCAGCCAGCTGTCACCGTTGCTACGTAAAATATGAAAAGAAATGTGATCGGATATAAAAAGATGTGCGTATTCTTCAGGATCGGAAGTGCTGAAAATTTTGCAAAAAAAATATTTCTCGTTTTTTGAAATTAAATAATAACTATAAAGTGAAATTCCAGGAAATTCCCAAGAAAAGTAAAACTGCCTGTATAATCAGTACAGGAAACCCATGTTAGTGATGTTACTGGGATGCTATTTCACGACCGGCACAACCATGCCAGTCTTCAGTCAGTAGCCAACATCTGTTCGATGTATGTGATGCCACCTCTTCGAAGGCTGACCGAGTTTTCGTTGATTTTCTAGCAGGCACCACATACTGGCTTGTATTATGCCCAGAAAATTTTTTATTTTTCCTTAAAATTCTATTGAACTTCAAAAAGTTTGCAAGAACTGAGAAAAGTAAAAAATACCTGTGTATCCCAGAAATGTGATGTATATATAGTAAACTACAGCGACAAACCAAATCGTATTACCAAGAAGTCGAGGCAAAAACGAATCAAAACCTATCAGATCTGAAAACTGATTTAACTGAATACTTTGCTGTTTTTCAATTCTGTGACAGTTAAGCGCGAACCACGAGGGAACCGAAAGTTCGCTTGGTATACTGCTACCAGAAAAAAAATAGTTGATGGTTTGCTCTGAATTTTCAGTACACTAGTCAAAAATAACAAGAAAATTCATCTCGTATTCATCATAAAAGGCAGCAGTACTCGGAAAGTAGCCTGAGCGATAGCAAATGCCAACAGCAGCCAGCCAATGGTAAGGCTCTGAATAAAGCCTTCCTTCGAGAAGTGCTTGGAAGCAAGCTGACGGACTAGTTTGATTTGATAACAAATGCCATTACCAATTTATCATTGAAATGAAGCATGCTGATCGGTTTTCTTGGCAAGTACATAAATATCTAGCTTAAGATCGAGACGAAACGGCAAACTACACAACGACTAGGTTCGAAGCAACAGTTCAAACCAATAAAATCTACCAAACGTTATCTAACAATAAAATCCACTGGACGTTTTAGCTATTTCCCCTAAGAAGTCGATAATGCTAAAAGTTGACTTACGTGAAAAGGTGAGCGGCAAAAGAACATGAAGAAGCATAAGCATCGGG